CCTCCTTTCCAGTTAGTCTACACAAACACACACACACACACACACACACACACACACACTGGCACATTTAAGCAAGCAAGGACACATTCAAGCAAGCAATGGTATCTTTAGAGAAACTTAAAATGACTTTAAGATTACATTTACTTTCAAAACCCCAAAACAAAATCATTTTTCTTTTTTTTTTTTAAGATTTATTTATTTAATGTAATCATCATTGTTCTCTTCACACGAACCAGAAGAGGGCATCAGACCCCATTACAGATGGTTGTGAGCCACCATGTGGTTGCTGGGAATTGAACTCAGGACCCCTGGAAGAGCAGTCAGTGCTCTTCACCACTGAGCCACCTCTCCAGCCCCAAAATTGTTTCTAAGTTAATCCCTGGTAAACTGACTGGCCTTAACAAACAAAAAGTTTGTTGTGTTAACGATTCATATGTACATTTATACTTCTGGAGTGTGGAGGCTATTAGGTAAAGTACCTTTAGACTCAATCAAGAGCAAATTAGCTCGCTGTATTGGGGGGAAAAAAGTTGCTGTATTTTTCTACAAAGTAAAGATAAAACCCCAAATATACCATTCCAAAATGCACATTTTTTTCTTTATCTTTGTGTCATCATGGGGAAAATGCCCGCGAGAAAAGGAGGCTGATTTCAAGAAACACTGAAGTCATTTCAAAGCCTGTAACTGCCATCAAGACAATCTTTTATGAAACTTGGCTTAGAAACAAATTTGAGGAAGAAAGTTACATTCAATACCTAATTATACTAAACCATTCTAAGCCAAGGATAGAGACCACACCAAAAGTCTGCATGCTGTCAAAGCATAATAAGAATATAAGCACAATAATGAATATTTTTTAAAAATCTGGGCCAGGGGGTGGTAGCACACACCTTTGATCTCAACACTCTGGAGGCAGAGTCTTAAGTATCTCTGTGAGATGGAGTCCAGACTGGTCTACAGAGCAAGGGCTACACAGAGAAACCTTGTCTCAAAAACTGGAAAAAAAATTATAGCAAAAATTTCAAATGGATTATAAGAAACATAGACTTCATAATCTCCAGAGCCATAAATTCCAAAGACTTTCAATGCCAGGGATTTAATTTTTTCTCAGACTTTGTTTTGATTGCATAGCACCTAAGTTTCTTGGTTAAGTATAAGATTTCAACTGCATTAATAAATTCACTTGGACAAGAGACAAGAAAGTCCAAAGAATACACATTTGCTGGTCATCTGAAACTCTAACCATTTGAGCTGTTACAGAGAAACCTTTAAAGATATGTTCTCTGAGTACTCCATTCGACTGGTCCATCATCATATGTGAAATCTGTAGACTTTGACAATTTAGTTTTTGAGATAGAGACCCGTGTAACCCCAGCTAGGAATACTTTCTTATTTTGTAGGCAACATTGGTCTTGATCTTACTGCATCTACCTCCCCAGTGCTACAACTGCAGGCATACATCATGAGACCTGGCTATGGTCATGTTCTGACCAAACATACATGATCCATTGCTACACAACTATGGGATAATGAGGAGAATGCTGTCTCTTTCCAAGCCAGTTGCTATTACAGATACTTGATTTTGGATTGTACACACAATGTATGTGTATGTGTATCTTTGGATATCATAAAAATGCCAGTTAAGGGGCTAAAGAGAAGACTCAGTGGTTAACAGTGGTTCTTTAAGAGGACATTGGCTCAGCTCCCAATAACGACATGCTGGCTCACAATCATCTGTAACTCCAATTCCAGGGGATGTGACACCCTGTTCTGATCTCCATGAAGGAACATCAGACATGCATGTGGTACACATATATACATTCAAGCTAAACATTCATACACATAAAATAAATTCCAAACAATTTGTTGCCAGTTAAAAAGTTTCTTCAAAGACATCTCTGAGTTTTTGAGTTGTTGACTCTATTTGTAGCACAGAACACATTACAATACTCATCAATGAATTCAAAAGCTCACAGACTACACAGCCTGTCAAGGAGTTAAAAAGGCTTTCCCCAAAATAATAGGAAGCACACACAGATCTATGTTGACTGTTACCACTGAAAAGATACAAAAGTGGGATCATCTGATAGGTTCACAGCACTGAAAACACCTAGAGATTGTCTTGATCATTTTGTCAGCTTTAGGGTAGGACAAAGCAAGACATGATCAGCCTACTGATACATTCTATAGATGTGTTCAACTCAAGGTTTTAAGAGTAATTGCAGGGCTTCCAGGACAGAAAGACATATGAAAATGTCCTAAAGATTAAGTAGATAATTTTAAGATTCTTCAGGTCCCAAAAAAAAACCCGGAAGATTGTCAACCAATATGCATGTACAGTCTCTCTAAATGTTCTGATCTGATTGAGTCAGATGCTTACAAAGGGCCCAAAAAGGACACTTGTTCCCCCAGGAAGCTGGAGTTACAGGCAGTTGTGAGCTTCCTGGTGTGGGTGCTGGAAACTAAATCCAGATCTTCTGGCAGAAGCAGACTGTGCCATTTCTCCAGCTCTAAGAACATCCTAATGACATACACCACTCTTGACAATTTGTCATTAACACGTGCAAAAGAAAAAATTACACAACAGCAGCTATTGCAGAACACAGACCTCGTAGTCATAGATGTAAAAAGGATCTAACTCGGAATTCCAGAAGTGACAGCCACATGTGATTCTTAAACATGATTCAGAACTACTAAAAATCCATTTGGGGAAAAACCAACATGTTTGACAACACTGAAGCATACTTCTGGAAGTCAACACATCTAGAAATGTGTTTATAGGGCAAATACAAATGAGGAGAATATTTGCAATATGAACAGATACATGCCAACAGCCTGAAAGAGGCTTTTATAAGTAGAAAAATGCCAATATCCCAAGAGGAAAATGTGATGCTGCACTGAAAACTATCCCTACATAGTAGCGCATGCCTTTAGTCTCAGCACTTGGGAGACAGAGGCAAGCAGATCTCCGAGTTCAAGGCCAGTCTGGTTAAAAAGGAAGAGTTCAAAGACAGAGAAACCCTGTCTCAAAATGAAAAAAAAAAAAAAAAACTGGAAACATAGGTGGAGTACTTTGTAACTTTTGCAATCAAAGAAGTGGAAACTTAAATACCAGGATTGCACTGTTCACCTATAAAGCTGGCAATAATACTTCCTTTAATTACCTGTGTTAAAAAAAAATAACACAAGAGCCCAGTTCTGCTCTGCTTAGTTTGACTAAATAGTTTTGGAAACCAAAGTTCAATATTTTTGAAAGAAACTTTTGCATCACTCATTGTGATTTCCAAGGACTTTATCCTAAGGAAAGCTACCTTCCAGACAAAATTTTAAAAGAGATAAATGTTGCAATAGCATATCTAATTATAGTAACTGCAAAAGAAAAGTTCAGCTTGAAAAACAAGGTTAAGTAAATCACCACATCTATAGAATATAATCTGTAATTCTAAATTAAGATTTTGAAGGCTTTATACAGTGGGGGAATTTTCATATTTTACAAAGAAAAAAAAATAGATGGTGGGATTGACTCTTACTTTTCTGAATGTACCAAACTGTATACATCAGCTATTCATTCCTGTTGAAGTCGGAGCTCTCAGGGTTACTAAGAGACATGCTTCTTAAAGGCATAATTCTTGTAACTCAAGTTTAGTTTCCAAAAATTCTACATGAAATTTATCCAGAATTTCAGAATCCTGGTTAAACACTACAAACATTATCCTTGAATTCCTAACGGTTAATTAAAAAGTACAGACCTCTTCCAAACACATTTTTTCCCACATAAATCTAGTTTTAAAAGGAACAGGTGAGGGGTTGGGGCCGCCATCAATGATAGTCCAGGTGTTTGGTATATACAAAACTCTTGGCTCCATCCTTTGCACAAGGAGTGGGTGTACGGGGCTGGGGCAGGGGGGGAGAGTACAGGTGAAGATGGATAAAACCTACATTTTTAAAAGTATAATAAACTAAATTTTATGCCTATTTTTTAACAGGATAGGAGTAGGTTTTTTTTCTTGCATAACTTTTCTTATGGATAAAGTTCTTGAGAAATGAATCTGTAAACAAAGAGTTTAAACACACCCACACAACAGAGTACAGATTGCCCCAAAGGAATTGCAGGAGAGACCGAGATGTAGTATTTAAACTGATAAACTATTTGTAAAACATTCCTTATGGGGGTCATATGTTCAGGGTAGCACGACCCCACCTCTTTTTTGTCCTCCTAGAAGTTGTCTCGGGATCCCTGGACTTGCCCCACCCCCACCGCGCTGTGATTTGATACCATGATTGAACTCCAATCACCTGGCACAACATGAAAGCTCTCTTTCCTCCTGTTTTGCCTAAGACTCTGGTTTTAGACAAACAAAATAGACTGGATTTCCTTTTGTAGAACACAGACAATTTAAAAGTAGTATTTTGCAGAGTGGGTGTCAGTATGCAAGCTATGTTTAAAAACAATGAAATTTGTCACTTTTACAGGTGAAAAGTGAACAGATAACCCTAGTTCGGGGTGGGGGGGGGCAAAGACTTCGCGCAAATTCTAGCTAAGTCCACTACTGAGTAATCAGTAAGGCGACCCTAAACGTGGACTTTCCTATAGAGTTTGTAAGAGCAAGCAGGCTGCAGGGAGTAAAGCCCGCATGAGGATCTGGGGAACTGCAGTAATTCTCTTTCTCCCATATATTCTGCTCTGCCTGCTCAAGCTGGGAATGGGCCCCGGCAAGTCGCCCAGCCGGAAGCCTGAGGCTGCCAGGTCCAGAGCTAGGGTCCAGAGCTTGGTGGGCGGCTTTCCACCAAGGTTGCAAACTTGACACTTCTCCCTTATCTACAGTTAAATCCACCGTCACTTTCAAGGTGACAGCCACTGCAGCCCGCTGTCCTGCAGGAGCCCCGCGGGCCCCACGTGAGCTCAGCCTCCCCACTCCTCTAACTTTGAAACCCTAGGACACCCGCCCCCTCCCCGGAAAGCCAGTTGGGTCACCGAGAGTGCATTGCAGTCGCCTCACCCCAGCTCCTCGTTCTCCGGAGGTCCCCACCGCGGCCGGGATGGGCGGCGGAATGGGATCCACTCCGCACTTGCCCGCAGAGCCGGGGACCCCGTCCTCCCGGGAGCCACAGCGTTCCGCACCCTCAGCGGGTCCCGCCTGGGTGGCGTCTGTACCTGGGGCTCGCAGCTTGACCCCCAACCCGCACCAGCACCCTGGCGGCCAGGCGGGAACCGGGAACCCGGAGCCCGGGCGTCCCAGCCTCCCCGCCCCGGGCCTCCAGGGGGAGGAGCGAAGGCGGAGAATCCGGGGCTGGGTGGCCTCGCCCCTGGCCCGCGGCGGCTCCTAGAGCCCAGACAAAAGCTAAGTGGGAACCGAAGGGGCAGCGCCCTCAAGAACTAACCCGAGAGGCGGGCCGGGGTTCCTTGAGGCACGATGATTCCTGCGGAGCTCCACTGTGATCGCCTGTTCCGTCCAGCTCCCTGGCTAAACGTCAACAAGCCACAAGCCCCGGGCGTACGTCCTGGACCGCGCTGCACCTGTTGACACGTGTGTCGCGAAGCCACTGCTGCTGACTGCGCTGCTGGCTGGCTGCCCTGCGCGACCCCAAGCCATTCACGTCCCGGTGGGAAAGCTAAGCTCTGCGGAGCCCAACTTTGGGGCCCCAGGACCGTCGAACAGGCTAAGCCAGAGGGAAGATTGGCTCCTCCTGGGTCCCCTCGCAGCCTGACTTCCCTGTCCCGCGAAGGGCAGAGTGCTTTGGGGTTGGAAGGTGGGAAAGAGGCAGACTTACCAGCTCAAGGGTTTGTAAGGAAGCGGCACTGATTGCTCTCGACGAGTCCCACCTGCGCTCTATATTGTCTTCAGACTTCCGAGCAGATTATTAGCGAGCACCTATTAAAGATTAAAGGAACCAGCACTCCAGCTGTTAGAAGTTTAGATAGAGAAGGGGTAGGAGGGTAGAAGGGCGGGTAGTGGGATAAGCTAGAAAGAGAAGCTATGTCTGACCACTTTAAAGCCAAAGTCCTTGTTCTTGAATCAAACTAAGGAAATTTCAGCATCAACTAAGCATATTTTAAACATAAGGTTTTCCTAAAGATTGATAGTCTGCTTGTGACAGATAAAGACATTCCTTAATATGTCAGACAACCAGAGCTCAAGTTTAATGTATGCATGTTTGTATGTATATATAAAACTACACGGCCTGGGATTGCTGAAAAAGCATTTTCGGTACATTTCTTGGGGCGCGGGGAGGGGTTGGGGGTTGGGGAGGCAGAAGCATTTCAGGGGTTTCCTATACCATGAATGCTGGATGAACTAATAGCTTTGCTGTTTATAGCTTTGAGTGCTTTCACGTGGACAATGATCCATTCTTTGCTCACAAGTAGACCCTGCTGTAAATAGGTTAGATTATTATCTCTATTATTCAAGTGAGGAAACCGAAGCTCAGAAAAGCCAAGTGACTTGCACATGGTCACACTGTGAGGGAGGGCAAGGCAGGCACAACCCCAGCAGAGCAAGCCCAACTCCCTTTTTTTTCCCCCTCCATATTCCAGTAGATAACACCTCTTGCTTATCTTTGAAATACCTGCTGTAATATGATCTGTGTCTGACCTTAGGAAAAATCATGTGACTGATTTTAAAGTGATACAGCATTGAAAAACCATTGGCTAATTCTCCCTTGTGCAAAAGGCGCCCAACAAAATAAAACAAACAAAAAACCACCACGGATGTTTTTTCTGGCAAGTCATGAGATAATTATGCTAATTAGCAACATGCCTCCTCCCTAAGGAGAATCTTCCTTGTGTTAAACATATTATTTAAGCCTTTATAAGCCACGTGTGCCCCAGATGATTTGGCTCAATATAATCTACACATACCGGAATTCCCACTATCACTTCATTCCATTGTGTGACTTAGTTCTATCAATATGGAGTTAGTTTTACTTTTTATTTATGTAAGATAAATTGAGAAAAGAAAACAAATTAAAAAAAAAAAAACAAGTGGATTTGCCGGGCGGTGGTGGCGGACGCCTTTAATCCCAGCACTTGGGAGGCAGAGGCAGGCAGATTTCTAAGTTCGAGAGTTCGAGGCTAGCCTGGTCTACAGAGTGAGTTCCAGGACAGCCAGGGCTACACAGAGAAACCCTGTCTCGAAAAACCAAACCAAAAAAAAACAAAAACAAAAACAAAAAAACCCACTATGAAGCAATTGGAGATACTTCACAGTTTGGAGGCAGTCCCAGTGCAGATGTTAATGTCATATTTTTGTGGGTGTAAAAATCAGAACCTTAGCTTCTAATTGCATTCACATAATCAGAAGTGATCTAGAGACATCTTCAGAGACTCCCCTCCAGGCAAACAGTCAAAAAATAAGGCCTATTAACTTCTCTGTTCCTCTTGGTTCTGGGCATGTAGCCATATTCTGACCTCTGAACTTTAATACTGACCTGCTACAGAGTCCAGGGTTAAGGATGAGAAGACAACTCTGCATAACTTTGTGGTCTTACATCCTAAAGAAAAGTTAGCATAGTTTTTTTTTCCCTCTGGGAGAAAAATGAAAGTTAACGACTATATTTAAAAAAAAAAAATCACTGCTTCACTTGGCAAAATACCAAAGACTAGAACATGTGATAGCCACTGGGCGTTAGTATATGTAAAGAGAGGCAGGCAGACAGAATACAGATATAAATGTGATAGTGAACAACATAGAGGAAAATTCAAAATCTTAACAGAGGCCGGGTGGTGGTGGCGCACGCCTTTAATCCCAGCACTTGGGAGGCAGAGGCAGGTGGATCTCTGAGTTCGAGGCCAGCCTGGTCTACAGAGTGAGTTCCAGGACAGCCAGGGCTACACAGAGAAACCCTTTCTCGAAAAAACAAACAAACAAAAAATCTTAACAGAGTTACAGATGCACGGATTATTTTCACTAAAAGTCCCTTTGAGAACTTGCACGTATATAAAGCCTTGTTTATTTCAGTCTTATGTCTAATAACAACATATTGAAAAACAACTTACTGATTAATGAAGAACTCATTAATAAGGAGTTTGTTAACGAAAAGTTATGGCATAAGCATAAAACAAATCTTATGAAGACTTGAAAAAAGAATGAGACAGATCTTTTACTATTATTAAGTGATCTACAATACATTTTGCACATATTTTAAAATGCAAAATAATTATCTACTAGCATGCTGCCATTTCTATTAAGCGGAGAAAATCCATATACTTATATTGTATATATATTTTATTCCTATAAACAAAATAATATGTAAAAATACACTTACAAAATAAACTCTCAAAATAAACTTCCAGAAACTGATACAACTGGTTGTATCTTGAAAGGGGAGTCCAGACACTAAAGGGTCAATTTTGAAGAGAAAGTTTTTACTTAATATAATTTCACATATTTTGCATTTTGATCCATGTCAACAATAGTAGACAGTCAAGAATAGATGCTTCCCCACTTGAGATCTGCCGTAAAGAATGACTATGTGTTTTTATAAACAAGATGAATGATCACATTTCTACTGCTCTAATAAGGGGAAGGAGAACTGTTCGATTGTTGCTTTTAGCTTTGCTTCTTCTCTAGTTCATTTACATAAAAGACTTCCACTCTCAAAAGTCAAGCAAATGTCCTGTGATCCTGTAAATTCCTTTTTTTTTTTTTTTTTTTTTTTTTTTTTTTTTTTTTTGGTTTTTCGAGACAGGGTTTCTCTGTGTAGCCCTGGCTATCCTGGAACTCACTCTGTAGACCAGGCTGGCCTCGAACTCAGAAATCCGCCTACCTCTGCCTCTCAAGTGCTAGGATTAAAGGCAGGCGCCACCACTGCCCGTAAATTCCTTTTCCTAGCATTGACATCTTCTAGGGTAAGGCTTGAGCCTGCTTTCCCTGGGCCACATTAAATCAGAAGGGGGAGAGGAGCCCAGGGTTAATTCTCCAGAGGAAAACTCCAGAAGTGGATCTGAGTGGTGAGGAAGTACTGGCACAGGGATCCCTTGGAGTCCTTTTTATTTTGTTCCAGTTCACTCCTTTTTTTTCTTTTTATTTTCTTAAACTTATTTCCATCAGCTCGTTGAGCAGAGAGTTGAACATCTCTAGAAGACAAAGAAAGCAAATTCTTAAAATTGCCCATTGGGAAGGATACATATGTTTAACATAAAGCAGGAAAAACAATACATAGAATATTGAGTAACAAATTAAGGTATCTAAGTGTCCCAAGCAGTTTATAATTGCCATTTTCAAAAGATGTTACTTAAGGAAGGAAAAACTCTGTCCAGCCCTGAAGGACAAGAAAAAAAATAGGCTTTCATTTTTCAGATAAAGATTAATGAATGGGATGTGGCAGGGGAAAAAAAAAACAGACAACATATTGTGGCCCAGTGGTAGAGCACTTACCTACAGAGTATGAGGCCCTAGGTCCTGAGTTCGATCCCCAGAACATGCACACTTGGACAAAGATAGCTTCCCAGCCAGGAACCAGGCTAATTTCATCCCAGTCTAAGAACAGCATTAGAAAGAAGATCAGAGTCAGGCTATAGATAGATATGAATAGGGACAGCAGCTCTTTCACGTAGACTTCAGAAGTTCCGACATGCTCAGAGTAAAATGATTGCATCCTCAAAATGCTCTTGCCTCAAAAGTAAACAGTAGCTTTCTATAACATTGCACATACTTACCAGCCAGGCGTTTCATAGGGCCTGAAGAAACGTTAGTTGTGGAAATTGGAAAAAAACAAACAAAGAAACAAACAAATGAAAAACCTCCAAGTATGTTTAGATTCTATTATACTAATAGTGGCTTAGAGAAATGTCTAATTTCTGTGTCTCAAGATGGTAAGCTATATGGTCTGGTATATAAACTGACCAGTCTAAGAAATGTCCTGAGTTACAAGTAAGGGCTTGCAAATTCGGCTGAATTCTCTTCTGCGTGTTCTAGACTGGGGCCTATCAGAGTCAGGCTTCTCCTGTAAAAATCTGCCAGTTTGTAAATGAAATATCTCAAGGGAAAGGTTTTTGCAGGCTTATAGCCAAATTAACACTGAGGGAATACATTTCCTTTTATCAAAATAATCTGAGACCATCTCAGAATCTCTTTCATGTCCTCCAACCATGGGTTGACATTTATAAACCCTGTAGAAGGAAATTTCCCTCTAACATGATGCCAAAGTT